GGGGGAGCCAGTGCGGGGACCGGGGCGGGGGCTGGGGGAAGGGGGAGCGGGGCCGGGGCGAGGGGCAATGGGGATGGGGACGGGGACGGGGATGGGGATGGGGATGGGGATGTGGTGGGGATTGGGATGGGGATCGGGGCCGGGCCGGGGCCGGCTGCGGAGCGGCGGGGCGGTGTCGCGGTGCCGCCGGAGCGGAGGCGCGGTGTCCCTGCTCACCCGCGGCCGGCTCCTGCCGCCCTCCCCGCCGCTCCCCCGCACACCGCTGCTCCCCGAGCTCCAGCCTGCGGGGATCCGAGACAGGTGGCCAGCAGGCAAGTCCTCTGAGCGGTCCTAGGTCTGGTGGGGAGCGAGCATCATCCCGCCTGCAGAGAGCTGGGGCTGCAGGAGCAGCTAATGCAGATGTTGCCATTCGGTAATTAATTCTGAGCCCGAGAGAGAGCCAGGAAGCAAGCTGCATTGAAGTTTCACTATGGTTTTCACCTACAAGAGATGACGGAGACAAGCTGGCCATATCCCAACCTCATGTTTTAGGGATGGCAAGAGTCTGATTCTTCTTTTCCATCGCTCTTCATCCCTCCTGCCATTGCACTTAAACAGCTAAACTGAAAGTTATTGCTCACCAGATACGGTAGAATAATGAGGATAGGGAGTTATTCATGGATTATTTATTCTACAATCAATGAGGCAAAGAAAAATGAAAACAATTATTTCTCAGGTGTTATATAGAGAAAGCTGAGAAATTGAGAGGTATAATTTCTTTAGAGGAGCCCCAAAGCAGGGATAAATTATTTTCAGTGACTAATACACATGCTGTTAACAAGTACCTGCTGTTATTTACTGACTGTGATGAAGTGGTTAAGACCATGTGTAAAATGAGATTTTCAGAAAGGCCTTGGGATATTAGGATCCTCAATCCTATTGCTTTTCAGAGTACAGTGCCTATCTTTTAGGTCACTTTGAAAGCTCATCCATACGTAATATGTGATATCCCAGGAGAGCTGTGGCCTAGAGGTTTGAGCACAGCCCAGGACAAAGCTTAAATGCCAGTCCTGGGAAAAGTGTTTCTGTAATCTAGTCCAACTGCCATAATTTTTCCTCCTTGGGGCTTTCCCTGCCTTGCCTTATCCATAAAGAGTATTAATATATCAATATTTCAAATGCTTTCATAGAAATAATGCCAATATGTATATAGCAAATGTGAAATGAAAGAGTGCACTATGAATAAGTTTTATTATACTTATTTCTGGTTTTGAAAGAATAAATATTTCCCTAGAGACTCTGTTACCTCATCCCTGCATTATCCTGAGCTCTTTCCAATGCCCTCCCCTTTCTTTATAACCCACAGATACATTTTGGTATCCAATAATCATTAAGATATGTAAGATTTTTTGGGAATTAACTAAGAACGAAATATTAATTAGTGACGTTATACTTGTTCAAAATTGCTTCTTTCCTTAACGTCCTTCTTCTTTACATCTTCTGTTCCTCTCCTGCTGTATATCCCACAATTTTTCAAGTTCGTTAACTTACATTTTCTTTTCTTTAGCTACCACTGAAATGGTAGAGCTGATATAGTATCACAAACTGACTGCAAATATTCACAGAAAAAAGACTGATTATGACATGCAAAAATTTCTACCACTTTCATTCTGAGTTCTTGAAACCCTTTCTGTATACGTTGGCCTTTATAATTCACTTGAATAAGTAATACACAGCTTCTCTGAGTAAGTACTTAAAGGCTCAGCAGACCATTTTTCAAACAAAATTTCTATTTCTTAAGGCTCTTCCAACAAGCCCAACAAAAAACATATTTGCTCATCACCCATTCATACTTTTATACCTATATAGCTGTATATCACCTGCCTCATGAAGTCCTCCACAGGACAAGAATCTTGACTTGATTTTAGTTGTTCAAACTTCACATTTGTTTAGCATATGATGATTGGGGTTTTCAAAAATGTATTCAAATTGATCATAAGTAGATAGACATTTAAAAAAAACCCAGCTATAGAGGATAAGACAAGTAATTCAAAATAGGAAGATTCAGCAGGCTGGTTGGTGAATATTTAAATAATGGTGACAGTAGAAAATTTCCTTGTGGTTTGAGACGGAAGAAATGGCACAGGTTATTGCATTTTTCCCCACCTTGGAATAGGATCAGTCCTTAAAAACTGCATAAAATATTTAAACTATATAGCAATAGAAATGAGTTGTGCAAGGGTAATGCAATTATTTTTAATATAACAACAAGTGAGGCCTGCAAAATCACTAACTTTGACTGATTCTGTCACAGAAAAATCATTACAAAGATCTTCAGGCATTCTTTAGTCCTATAAAACAAGTTAACCATATATACTCTTTTTTTTTTTTTTTTTTTTTTTCCTGGAGGATGTTGTGAAGTATTACTTTACATGATTCAACAAATTCAAGTTGAATATATTAACCTTTGCAACGAAAACATGGTCAGATTGTGTTAGGTCACAATATGAAGTTATTAGATACTTCTACTCATTCTCCTAACATTTCTGTTCCAGAGTGTAAATGTGAGGATGTTTCTAAGCAAGCAGTGAGACACCCCTATGGTCTCAACAGGGCACCTACAAGTTTTAGCACTCATATCCTTCAAATGTCAAGTGTTTGCAGGGTGGGTCAATGGGGATGTGTTCTCCACTCTGTAGGTTAGGAAAGTGTCATAGCAGACTGGGACAGGCATACCAGCCAGGAGGTGCAGAAAGAGGATCTTCCATCAAAGCTACTCCCATAAGAGTTCCTTATATTTATTTCTCAGACCACAAAATCATATAATTGTTTAGGTTGGAAAAGACCTTTAAGATTGTCTAGTCCAACCACTAGGCCAGCACTGCCACAGCCACCACTAAACTATGTCCCAAAGTGTCACATCTACACATCTTTTAAATATTTCCAGGGTGGTGACTCAGATACTTCCCTGGGCAGTCTGTTGGTATGCTTGGCCACCCTTTTAATGAAGAAATTTTTCTCAGTATCTGACCTAAACATGTCACAATTTGAGGCCATTTCCTCTTGTTCTGTTGCTTTTATACCTACAAGAGACCTGACCCCCACCTGGCTACAACCTTCCTTTCAGGGAGTTGTAGAAAGCGGTAAGTTGTCTCCTGAGCCTCCTTTTGTCTGCACCAAACACTTTCCTTGGCTGTTCCTCTTATGATTTACTCTTTATATCCTTCCCCAGCCCTTCTCTAGAAATGCTCCAGCACCTCAATATCTTTTTTGTAGTAAGGGGCCCAAAACCAGTCAAAGAATTTGAGTTGCAGCCTTACCAGTGCCAATGGCCAGTGCATCAATGACCCCTTCAACACTCCCAAAGCACTAAAAAGTAGAGAGATATCTCGGTCAACTGGTGAAACCTCCCCGGCAATTAGAAAGACACTACAGTGTTAAAAGACTCCAGTTATTACAGCTGTGCACAAATTTTATTGAGCTTAATGGAAATTGTGCACACATATTGATAAATGAATAGATCATTCTGAATTTACTATAGCTGTCAAGCAATGTCTGCTAAATGGAAGTTATCCTGGATAGAACTATATTTACAGTATGTGAATGTCAAGAGGGAAAACACAATGGCAGAAAGCTAGAAAGAATAATTAAGAATTTCAAACACTGGTGGGAGCAAATGGCTTCCAATAGCATGATCAGTTGGTTCCACAGAAGAAAATGAGCCAACTTTAAAAAGGACATGCAACTTTTGAATTAATACTGAAAAGTAAACATTAAGCTTTTTTATGCCTGACAAACTACCATTTTTAAATATTGTTTCCCTTTTACATTTTTGGTTTCCCCAACCCTCTTGCATTGTAGAGCTCTAAAAACCATCTATAGCACAATTTCTGTCCAAATCTCTCAAATGTTAGATATGAGGACTTAACACAGGATAGACAAATGCAATGTATTTCAAAAAAGACTTTTTGATCACATGCACAGAATCAAATGTCAGATAATAGACTATTACTGGATGAAGTATTGGGTTTATTAAGAACAATGTCAGGTTTTCTACTGGGATTATTGATACTCATGGGTGTTTCTCTGAGGAAGAAAGGATCACATGAATATTGTGATCCACCTGCTTATGAGAAGGTGTAAAGACCTGAAGAAAATACTTATTTTCTAGAAATGCAAGGAAAGTCTTTCCTAATCTTAATGCATCTGAAAAGGAAAATGAAGATGCATTACCAGAAAAGAGATGGTATCTTCTTGCTCCACACAGCTAAAAATATAGCATTATAGTTTCAAGTGAATGCATTTTTGGCTTGACCATCAGTTAATTATGGTAATTTTATTAAAACAGCAAGATGAAAATATGGAAATATGTATTTATACAGACATCAAAATAAATTGAGGATGTTCAGAAGTTTTCATCTTCATGTCCCTATATCTTTTGTAGTCTACACATGTGCTTAAGACAGCATCTACCTTTAGAAATTTCTTTTGTGATATCTTGATCTCTATTAATC